AGGAGGGTGGAGGCCTCGGGCAGAGGCATCAGGACTGGGTGGGGGGCGGAGCCGGGGATTGGGGGGAAATGAGGGTCCCCTGCCCAGGCCTGACACTTCTGGCAGAGGCATCAGGCCTGGGCAAGGGGCTGATCCTGCGATTGGATGGTGATGGGGGTCAACGCCTGAGGGCTCCCAGTATGTGAGAGGGGGCAGGCTGGGCTGAGGGACACTCCCCGCCCCACACACACACCCAGTGCACAAATTTCGTGCACCGGACCCCTAGTATAGGATATTACATTCTGTCTTAGGTTCAACCATTCCTTTGAGAAGCTTTTGTTCCTTTTATTGGAGAATTACATTAGAACCAAGACCAAGGTACAAGTGGTATCCTAGTTTCTGAGCATTATGTTCCTTTCCCCCCGATTTATGGAGGTATAACTATTATACAAAAATGCACATAATTAATGTATATAATTTAGGAGTTTGTGGTGATATCAACATACACTTACGTTGCTATCATCACAACCAAGGTATTAAATATTTCTATCACCCGAGTTCCTTGTGTCCCATTATTTATGGGTTTTTCTTTATGTGCTAACAACACTTAACATGAGATCTCCCCTCTTGACATATTTTTAAGAGCACAACACATTATTTCTTAACTATAGGCATGATGTTGTGCCATAGATTCTCGGAGCTTTTTCTTCATCTGTTGATATGAGCGAGGAATTTTTGGCCTTTATTCTATTTATGTGGTGTATTACATTGATTGTGTTGCATATGTTGACCCTTCCTTGCACCCCAGAAATAATTCCCACTTGTCTTGGTGTATGACCCTGTTAATGTTCTGTTGAAATCAGTTTGGTAACATTTTGTTGAGGATTTTCACATCTGTAATTATTAAGGTCATTAACATACAGTTTTCTTTCGTTGCGGTGGCTTTATCTGGACAGATTCAAAATGGTTATTTTTCTCTTCATCACAAGAATCTGGTGGGGTTCCAGGGGTAAAACCCATGAAAGAGTAGAAACCTCCCTAAGGCTGCAGCCTCCTGCAGTTTCTCACTCTTAACCCCAATCCACACTCAGCATTCTGCAATGTGTCACAATTACCATTTAACGTTCCTAAGCCCTGAAGGCTCCAGCAGCTCCGGCTCCGGCAGAAATGAGAAGGCCCTGCTCTCTGGAGCCTCGGCAGGTATCAGGGTGACGAATGCAGGAAAAGTTGTTGGTTTTCAAATTGTTCACACTTTTTTCTTTACGAAGAGTAACAACTTCTAATGCTCTACATTTCAGCTGTTACCACAGTCCAGGTAGTTCATATTTTAT